ATTGCACATTTGTATAGGAGTAGAGATTTCTTACACTGGGTTAAGGCCAAGCATCCTTTGCACTCTGTTGCTGGTACTGGGAATTGGGAATGCCCCGATTTCTTCCCAGTCTCGGTACAAGGTACTAATGGATTAGACACTTCGGTCATGGGGGAAAATGTCAAGCATGTATTGAAGGTTAGCCTTGATGTTACTAGATATGAATATTATACCTTGGGTATGTATGACACAACAAAGGATAGGTATATTCCCGATAAAGACATGGTTGATGGCTGGAAGGGCTTGAGGTATGATTATGGCAATTTTTATGCCTCAAAATCATTTTTTGATCCTGCCAAGAACAGAAGGATCTTGTGGGGATGGGCAAATGAGTCTGATGCTGTTATTGACGATATAAGAAAGGGCTGGGCTGGAATTCAGGTATATACAAGTAGAACACAATAAATTAACTTAGAATTCTTGATTCCTAGGCTAAACTCTTGTTATTTGGAATTTTTTGTTAGGTTATTCCAAGAACTATTGTGCTCGATCCGAATGGCAAGCAATTGCTACAATGGCCCATTGAAGAAATACAAGCTCTAAGAGGGAAGAAGGTAGAAGTGAGAGATAAGAAACTTGAGAAGGGAGAGCGAATTGAAATCAAAGGAATAACAGCTGCACAGGTACTCTCACTATTACCTCCAGCAAATAATATAACTACTAATGCAATATGTATATGAAACTCATTATTTGGTATGGTTGAATAAATATGGCAGGCCGATGTTGAAATAATCTTCACCTTCGAAAGCTTAGACAAGGCAGAGACATTCGACCCCAGTTGGGATCGATATGATGGTCAAAATCTATGCAGTCAAAAGGGATCGACAGTTCAAGGAGGAGTAGGACCATTTGGGCTCTTAACATTGGCTACAGAAAACCTAGAAGAATACACTCCTGTCTTTTTCAGAATTTTCAAGGATCAAGAAAAGCATCTAGTTCTCATGTGCTCTGATGCATCAAGGTCTGTCCAAGCCTAGATTTCATTATTAGAATATTTACTTGGCCTTGGTTTCTTCTTTTGTTAATTATGTCCAGCTAACTTCATTCGATTTAATCTTATTCACAGATCCTCCTTATATAACGAGACAGGAACATATAGACCCTCATTTGCAGGCTTTGTAGATGTAGATCTTTCTCACAAGAAGCTTTCCCTTAGAAGTCTGGTATGAATTTAATCTTGCGTTGCAAATTTCCTTCAAACAAGCTATAAATTTTGTTTACTATCAAGTTAAAATGGCTCGTTTCTTGCAGATTGATCATTCGGTAGTGGAAAGTTTTGGTGCCAGAGGAAAGACCTGCATTACATCTCGTGTTTATCCTACTCTCGCGATCTATGACAACACTCATTTATATGCATTCAACAATGGCACAGAGACTATCAAAATTGAGACTTTGAAGGCTTGGAGCATGAATAAGCCTAATTTGATGAACCATTAAGAGATGAACTGCAATGTTCATTTCAGTTTTTCTTTTCCTTTTTTGTTTTCGTTTTCATTTTCATTTTCAACTGTGTGGATTTATTCTTCGGGGTGTATTCGTTTATAATGTTCATGTTTCGAAGAATGAAATTCTCAACGAATATTTTACAATAAAATTCTGAATATTATCACTCAACAAAACAAAAGGAATTGAAACAAACAAGTATAGTGCTACAAAATCTTTAATGTATGTGATGATGGAAGACTGGAAGTAAAAAGCCCAAAATTGAGCCACAGAAAGTATACATTATAAGGTGTCCTATTCTAGACTAATCCTTGGGTCTGTGATCCGGCCCCTCTTCACACAGTCCGGTTAATCGCAGGATGTGCCTCCAACTAGCCAGGGTCCGAGCGCTCCCCACCTGGTCTGACAAAGTGCCAAGCAAGCCAATCCAAGTTGCACCTTGCCTTCCAAGAATAATCCTTGCCTTCCAAGTTCCCACTTGCCTTCCAAGAATAAATCCTTGCCTTCCAAATGTTCCCTTGCCTTCCAAGAATAAATTCTTGCCTTCCAAGAGCCCCATGTTTCGAACTCACGACCTCTGCTCTGCCAGGTTTGACAGCGTCCGTCCTTTGCCAGTGGAGAAGTGCCCTGGGAGGCTACAAAATCTTTAATGTATGTGATGATGGAAGACTGGAAGTAAAAAGCCCAAAATTGAGCCACAGAAAGTATACATTATGATCTCTTTATATCATATTCATCAAAGATTCTAAACCGCTCGACCAAGAAAGTGTTGGTAGGGGAGTCGAACTCGCGACCAAAGACCTCCGCACTCACCTACTCCATTAACTCGGCCACCCCATGAGGGGCCAAAAAAAAAAAAAGCCTATATATTTAGATAAAGAAAAATGCAGTTGAGCTATATAGTTGCCTTTTCACTTTAAGACTTGCATGAAAAATATATATGACAAAATTTAAGAATTTCAGCGCGGCATCTATAAGCAGTAAATTTTCAAACCAAACAGCCTTGTGGATTTCTAATTATTAAATGCTCGACAGAAAAAGCACCTCACAAGCTTTAATCCTTATCCGGTGTACTTTGATCTGCTAAACATACTCTTAATGAATGAAAAGAACAGTCCATGTATTATAGGTAAGCATAACAAGTAAACGTTAAGTGCATAGGTGTAAAAATCGAACCAGATCGGCTGGTCTGATCCAGGGACCAGAAGTATATATGTACTCATGTAGAATTCATTTACTATTTTAATTTATTGTGTCCATTAATTGCATGTAGCTACCCAGAGAGACTCCTAGTCTCCCCAACAACAAAAACATACTAAGCTTTTTTTTCCAATAATAGAATATATTGTCTGAGCTGAGATTCAAACCGATGATCTCTAGTTCTTACCAAAAGAAATAACACAGCAAGGATACGTCTATCTCATCCTGACGAGAGATTCATTTGGTCATCTTCCTCGGTTAAAGATGGCAGGAGGTCAACGTCTGTTATACGGAACCATGAGGGGCTGGTTATTGCTGCTTCCTCAAGATCAGTACTGGCCAGTTTTCTTGTGATGCTCTACAAGTAATCCAAAATTTGAAGTCTGATTTTAACCATAGGGCAAATTCACTGATTCTAGTTGATAATATAGCTCTGGTTTCTGATGTAGGTTGTGGTACTTGCCCATTCGTGCCTAGAAATGGGAAATGTGTGGCCCATACACAGCATCTTTTACTACTTCTGGCCTAGTTAATAATCATCGAGTAGATTGTATGCCTCGTACTATTTCGCACATTGTTGGTGCAGATATGATTGAGTTGTGGCTCAAAACAAAAAAAGATCTTCTGAGTCAACAGTGCATCCAAACTCGTTTCCATCTTTATAACCAAATAATTATAATTACACTGAATGTTCTGAATATTGTCAAAAAAAGGAAACTGGTTATGGAATAATTTCCCATCTAAATTTTTTTATAATCCAGGCCTCAGTTCAATTTCTTATTACTATCTAACCAGCTACATTATTCTTCTGGAGCATAGAGCAGTTACAAGTTACATGAGCTTGAGTAGTACACATTGACTTTCAAACACTCAGTAAGCATAATATACACGTATAGAAGACTGTTTATTTCAAGTATATCTGGGATTGTGTCCATGAGAATTGAAGTTTGAGTTGCATAAAGCAGTTCTTAAATAATAATTCGATGTTGAAAAAGTGAGGAACTAAAAACAAAAAATATTTACCTTATTTTTCAGAATACGATACGCCATTCACCAGTAATCTCCACAAGAACAACCACCTTCTTTAAAATGGTGGAACCGATTGGCATCACGAACAATAATTACCCTATGTGTAATCAAAGAGACATATTTACTAAATGTGTGACAGTCTCCACAAACCCTTAGATTCTTTGTAATTCTAATTGGGGTTCCCTCAGGGGTGCTGATTAGTCCAAATGATATTGCCAACCTTTCACTATGAGCGTACAAACATCCAAACTTGAGTTCCTCATCAACATCGTGCAGCACAAAATTTGTATCAGGAACGTACCCAGCCAGCTCTACTTTCTCTCTCAACTGCTTCAGTTCCTCATATATCTCCTTCGATAGGGGATGAGTACAGTCCCCCACACTAAATTTATGGATCTTATTATCTACTTCAATCCATGTCCAACCGGGAACTTTCTTTAATCGCTGATGGGTCATTAGTTTCCTAACCTTTGCCACTTCTTTCCATCGACCTGCTTTGGCATATATGTTTGAAAGCAATACATAATGTCCTGCATTTTGGGGTTGTAATTCAATGAGGGACTCTGCTGCCTTTTCTGCTAGTTCAACATGACCATGAATCCTACATGCACCAAGCAGTGCACCCCAGAGTCCCTCATCTTTTTCAATACTCATATCCTCGATCAATTTCAAGGCCTGATCGAGCTTTCCAGCCCGACCAAATAGGTCAACCATACAAGTAAAATGTTTTGCATCTGGTCTTACTCCATACTCATCTTGCATCAATGAGAAAAGTTGAAGACCCTCTGCAACAAGCCCAGAGTGACTACAAGCATACAAGAGTGAAACAAATGTGATGTTATTAGGCAATATCCCACTCCCCAACATCATATTGAACAAATCCAGAGCCTTCTGGCCATCCCCATGGTATCCATAAGCTGCAATCATTGCACTCCATGATATAATGTTCTTCTCTCTCATCTGATCAAATATCTCCCTGGCAGAGTCGACACTCCCACACTTTGCATACATATCAATCATTGCAGTCCCCAAGATCACGTCCAGTGAAAAATTCGTCCTTCGAATGTAATCATGAACTATCTTTGCCTTATGCATCACCCCTAACTTTGCGCAAGCGTTCACAACATTTACCATAGCAACCTTATCCAGCACAGTTCCTTCCGCTTTCATCCTGTCAAACAAAACCAGTGCCTCATCCGCATTTCCACACTCAGTACACGCCCCGATCATCACAGTCCAACTAACAAGGTCCCTCTTCAGCATTCCATCAAACAGCTGTGTTGCATCCTCGATAACCTTACATTTCGCGTACATGTCCACTAGTGTTGCAGTCGAAAAAGGGTCTGAAATCCACCCGAACTTATAAACAACATTATGTATCGATCTACCCATTTGCAAATCCTTTGTATCTCGGCAAACCCTTATCACAAAAGGCAAAGTATAGCTATCAGGCACAATTCCGGACCTTATATACTCCTTAAATGTTCTAAAACAATTCATAAAGTCACCAGCTTTAGCATATCCGCCAACCATAACACTCCAAGAAAACGGGTCTGGTTTACTAAACCCTCTAAATAATGCACTTGCATTCCCTAAATCCTTGTGCAACGTATATGTATAAAGAATTTTATTAGTAACAATGGGATTTTGGAGCAGCCCATTAACAATTACTTGAGCATGTATTTGATAAACTGGTGAAAGATTTTTACACTTGACGAGTCTAGAAAGGTAAAATTTTGGTTCCAGTATATGTGAAAATTCTGATTTTGGTGTTTGGGTTATGTGGATACTTTGATTGGAGAATGTTTGATCAAGAATTTGATTTTGGCATGGGGATTCAATCATCATTTGAGCAGAGGAAATTGATAGAAGTCGATAAGATCCACGGTTTGAGGGAACAAGATTTCGGCGTCTGTACATAATCATTAGATTAGCACTCACGTACAACCATGAAAATCTTTAACAGATTTAACGGTCAAATAGAAGGCTATATTACAAGACCAGTGCATGCCTAAAAAAGTCCATATAAATCAAGTTTAGTTATTAATAAATAAGTAAATCTTGAAATGAGAAATTCTTATTTATTGACTGAAGCTGAATATAAGTAAAGTATATACAAATAAGCAAGTTATTTAATTTTTTATTTTAAATATATGTAAAATTTCTGTTTATAAATTGTATTTGAAATCAAACTTTATGTTCAAAGTTAATGAAAAAAGTAACTTTATATATATTCATTAAAGTTACTTACAGATATACTGTTGAGAACATGTTTGTTTAGCTTAAACTATGCTTAAAGCGTGTACAAGGTTTGAGAACAAATTCAGCCCCCGTTTGGCTCCCATTCTTACCAAATTTTAATAGTTGAAATAGTATTTTTTTGAAAAATGTGTGGTTAAAAAAGAATGAAATTCTTTTTATTTGTATATAATATTATTTTATGAAAGATTGTGTTATTGAAAATAAAAGTGAAAAAAAATGAAAATGGAAGCCAAACGAAGGCTCAATGTTGTATAGATTGATCAACGTTTACTAGTGATTTAGATCTCATGCAAACAAGTTGCAACATGACCCTTCATCTTAACTATTACGACATGTGCATCTTCCAATAAATATAGATATAATCACTTATTACCTTCTATTTATCACGAACAATCCATTTAAAATTTCAAACTCAACAATGACAATTAAATACGAGGGTTATGCCCATTGTCATATGCCAGGTCAAATTACGAGGGTTATGCCTATTGTCATATGCCAGGTCAAAGCCTAATTCTCAGCAGTGTTAAGGTACAACTCCATTCAATTCAACATATAATGGAAGTTTGAATAGCTGTAAATAAAGATTAATTGGCTCATTAATACTCAACCTTGAAATCCTTGTCTTTTGTAAATAAAAATAGAAAGTATAAATGTAAGATTAATAGCAGTAAATAAAGATTAATTGGCTCATTAATCCGAAGCTTACAACCTTTACTAAATCCCGAGGGATTTATTCTTCTTGATAAGCCTAATATAGGATTACAAACCTCTACACAAGCTTTGGATTCAAAGTAGATTGCAGATTAAGAGAAACGTATACATGTAAAATACAAACACAAAGTTAGGTAAAGATAATAACAGATGGACCAGTTCGCAACTATTTTAGTTTATCTGTGAAAGTGGGGAGCGAGGAATCAGCAAAGGCTTTAGTTCCTTTACTTGAAGGGATTCATTTGAATGGTTTTCTCGGAATTCTTCTTGCAAGACTTCCACTGGCATGGCTCGTAATGACTCAATAGTGGCCTTGCTAGGAATATCCTGCTCAAATTTCACAGGGGTTGAGCCAGTGACCTCATAATCCTGAGCATCAATGAAGTGGTTAAAATCATATACGGGAAATTCCATCCGGATAGTTTTGCTCTTATGAACATACTATTTTATGACATGATTCTATATCTTATCCACAGCAAAACAAAAGGAAATGCATCAAACAATAAAGAAGGGTTAGTCGTGTTAAAGGTGTGTAAATTTCAATTTTTAAACCAAGAGCCATAACATCGTGATAACCATTCAAAACATAATTTTAGAACATACCATATATTTTTGCCTGAAAGTATCAACGGCATGCTGTTTCATAGAGTCTGACTGCTGAGAGTGATCTTTTTGAAGGATCTCAAGAGTTTCAGAATGAAATCTAGAGGTCGTTAAAATTTCAGAAACATAACCTCTCTCTTGCTCTGACATGCCTGAAAATGGAACAGGGAAGAAATGTCAAAGGTATGGACACTGAAATCATTCTCTCCCTTCACAATGGATGAATCAATAGCAATTAAGAACTAAGTTTTCACAAGAAAAACAAATTAAAAGGAATGTTGCTTAGATGGGATCTAATCATAACTGACAAGCAATCCCATTTGACAATTAAGTACCAAAATGTAACTCATCATTATATGGGACACTGGTGAAGGTTTTTTCCTTTATGCTGTGAATCCAGAAGCTAGCATTTTCTATTTGTACAAATAAATGTGAGTTATATGTTACGTTTGTTTGCTTAAAACCCTTAAGTAAATAAATTTAGCATAAACTATTAATAGATACTTCCTCAAAAGTAATTAACAATGAATGGAAAAAAATGGTAGGGATTCAATTGAGTAAAACAAACCATCAAAATACTGAAGGATGCCTTCGCTGTTCTTTGTGATATCTTCTCCAACTATAACCCTTGCAGAGTCAATTTCAGCATCATGTAGTTCATTACTATTGCACATGTTCCTAAAACAAAGATTCAGAAATTAATTAATTTGTTGTTCTTAGGATAAGTCCTTTTATCAAACAAAATAGCAGTAAACATGAGCTGACGTTTTATAACAGTGAGAACAGTGTCAATTGCAGCTAGCTGAACCCAGTTATTTATTGTCTATTTTAGAAAGGCATTATTAAAATTTAAACATGTAGAGGACAAAAGCAAACAAAACCACAAGTGATCAAATTACAAAAGACGCCTGACGATGAGAAACTGAGTGTTTAACTCAGCTCTTACACTGAACTAACCTTGAAATTACAAGTTACAACTAAAGAAGAGAGCAAGACTACATTGACCAACCTAATATGTGAAGCAACCATGGTGGCATGTTGACTTCCCATGTCGTTCAATGATTTTTGTGTTCTTTGCCACCTATTCAAAGCTGTATCGGCAGTGTTTACACTGGATAAGAAAACATACAAAGGAGTAAGAAACAAACATAGGCAAAGCGAAGAAGAAAAAAGACCAAAATGGAATTGAAACTAAACACGTGCAGCAATTCTAATGGGACGTGGTAAAGGGGGACAAATTTTTTTATAAGTAGAAAGTAAAAATGAGGCCGAAATAAAGAAATAACTTGTTTCACACCATTTCTGCAGAAGTAACTCCATACGACAATGCTTAGCAGCAGAGAAGTCAGCATTGTCCTTAAAATTATTCTCCGCCTGCATGAAGGAATCCTGCCATTTCCTTTTCAGGTCTGTTGTAATACTTTCCATTTTTGAAAGATGCCCATCCACAAAAGTCTTGCTTCCATTTATGCTTTCTCTAAGATCACCAAGCCTCGTATCCACCTATGAACTATTAGTTAGATATCGAAAAAAATAAATTGAAAAATGCAAAAAATTAATTAATGATGATGACACCCGAGTTATATACCATCTCTTTTTGGCGATGCATGCATTTAGAGACTAGAGAGGTCATATCAGCAATAAGCTTCTCCACATCTGACCTAGATTGTTCCTAAAGATGAAGAACTTATATGTAAGGCAACATACAGTTACAGTATGCAATTAATAACTAACATTGCAATATAGGATATACCTCATAAGCATTCTGAAATTCTACAATACACTTAGTTTGTATATCATCAACCTGATTTGCATGCCCTTTAAACCGTTCTGATTCTTCCAAAAGCTTATCAAGAAATCCATGAATATTTTCTGAGGTATCTATCAAGTGCTCAATATTAGCATTAAATTTCTGCAAAAATCGAAACATTCAAATATTAACTATAAAGGGAAATAAACAAGCTACTAAATAAAGGAGTTCCTGTAGTAAATATGCAAACCTGTCGAAGCTCTCTGGCTAAGTGTGCCATTTCCCCTTGATGACTAGATAGAGCTTCCTGAAGATCACTAAAAACTGAACTCACTTCAACAGACTCTGCAGCTAAAAACTACATCAAAGATTCAAACAAAAAAGGTTGAGAACCTACAAGGCCAAACAATGAACGTCAAAAACATAAAAGGACAAGAACAGTAATTTCAAATTCTTACTTCTTCAACAGAGCATGAATTGGATGAAGCCAAAATTGATATTTCATCCAAAGAAGAATTTGTATTGGCTTTGTGCAGCCTTACAACATTCTGTACAGCCTCAAAATGAGAGATATACAAAGCTCTTGAAGCACTTACTTTGTTCTTTAAATTTAAGGCAGCCTATGAGCAAAATTTAGAGAAATAAGAATGTAGAAATTATGCTGGATAGGGAATTTACAATTACAAGCAAATAAAAGATTTTGGAAAATAGTAGTATATACGGAAAAGTACAAATTACCCAAAAAAAAAATGAAGATAAACGACAAATCAGTGAAATGTAACAAACACCTTATCATGTACTTTCAGAAAAGAATTGCAGAGATTTTCAACACACTTAAGGTGTTCGGTTTGGTGAGAAATAGACGTGGCCAATGTCTTACAAAGGGTACCAAGCTGCTGCGCTAGCTCACCCTGAAAAGTGTCCACAGTTGACCTGTTATCAGCATTCAGTTTGTCCTCTCTGGCTGTAAAAGTAATAATTAAAATCATTATACCCATATACAGAAAAAATAAAATAAATAAAAAAGAGAAGAGGAGAGAAAAGGATTTATCATTGAAACTACATACCAATTTTCAGAAATAATGAAGCATTATTATTGTGAGATTTTTCCAGGTCAGCCCGTAATACACATGCTTGATGAGCCAGTGCATTCTCTGTTTATATATTCAATAACATGATTTAGGCACCAGAAAGAATAAAATTTCAACTCTTTACGAAACCACAAAATACCTGCTTTTTTCTGCTCGGATATGATAAAGTCCCGTTCCGTGAGGGAATACTTGCATTGTCTCAATTCATTCTCAGTATTTGCCAACAATTCACTGGTTTGTTTCAGGTCTTTCTGCATACAACTCCAAATAAGAATCAATAAATGAATCGAAAACATGGCACGGCAATATGACAATAACTTACTTCGGTAGCATCAAGTCTGTTACTCAAATCGAAGCACTGTTGAACTTGACTGTCATATTTAATTTGCAATTCCTCCAGTTGCTTTACCCATTCAATCAAAACAAATTAGAGATAATCATAGATAATGTGTCTACTAGTTAACAATATGAGACAAACTAACCTTCTGATGGTTTTCGATTGTAACTCCCATTTGTTCAATCTGATCAGCCATCACCTAAAATGCAGAAAATATTTTACAGTAATAAAAAATTCTAAAATT